ATTTATGAAGTATTTACTATTTCATATATATAATTATATGCTATTTGATTTTCTAATTATATTTTTATTTCATAATTGCCCCCATTTGATTTGTACTTAGTTAGATTTGATTTGAAATTTCCGATTCAGTTTTTATTTTTTCTTATTTATTTGTTATTTAAATTGTATTCTTTCTAATTATTTATTTAAAATAAAATACATTCATTAGTTTTTCTTGTGTCTTCTACTTCATTTTTTTTATCCAAGCCTAAATTCTAGACAAATTTTCCCCACCTCCACCCGACCACGAATTTAAAAAATAATATATAAATTTTTTTTATTTACTTTTCTAATTAAACCATTAATAAAAATATTAAATATTTTTTAAAATTAATTTATTTATTTACTTCTCTAATTATTTCAATTATTTAATTAATTTTTCATTTAAAAATAATTTAAGATATTACACCAGACAAGAACTTTTACTACGAGTTGCCTGGGGAGTCTTGATGCCCAATATAGATTCGTCAAGCAATAAAATGGAGTTTGACGAGGAATGCACATCAAATTTAGCTCCATTGTAGCTAGATAGTATTGGTTATTATGTAAATTATGAATTAATTGGGTTAGTAGATTCTTGTTGTAACAATATTATTTTTAGCGAACATAGCTCAGCAGTAATTGACATATACCTATTATACATATAACCCCACATGTTGTACTAAAAAAAATTATTTTCAGTTAAAATTATTATATATATATAGACACTTATATATTAGGCCGAGCCTATATGAATGTATAAAATTTCTAATATTTCAACATTTGCAACCTCGTTTCAATTCGTCTAGATTCTTCAAATTTCACTCTTTAGAAATATCAGGTCTTTTTCGATTCTCCGTGCATACTTTCTATTCGGCCACATCGACGGTACTATTCCCCGCCCCGATCGTCTTCTTCAATCAACGGACACATATGGCTCTTCTACAATACTTGCTTTGGTTAATCCTAGGTATACACAATGGGTAGCCCGAGACCAAGCCCTAGCTAATTACTCTGATTAATGTGACATTATCGCCCATCGTTCTCTCCTATGTCGTCAGATCTCAAACCTTGATGGATCTTTGGATTTCTATCGAGACCCGTTACTTTGCTAGCACTCGCTCCTACATTCTTGATTTTAAAACAGAACTTCACTCCATTGAGAAGAAAGGTACATAATCCATTGATTCTTATGTTCAATGTATTAAGGAAATTATTGATAAATTGGGAACTATTATGGTTATTATTCAAGACAAGGATGTATTGATTCACACCAGCAATGGTCTCACAGTCGATTACAACCCATTTCAAATGTCTATCCGCACACCTGTAAGGAGCCATTGGTCTTGAAAGTGAAAGGACGATAATCCCGCAGCGGAAACAAGAATCTTTGTTCTTGAATTTGATGAACAAAACCCACAAATGAAAAAGGAAAATACAGGAGAATTTGGTACTACCTTTGATGAACAATTCTTTAACAAACCCAATTAACACCACCAAACGATCTTCCTTGCTATTCTCTGGACACGAAAATGTGTTTTGTGGAAGCAACGATCTTGGAAGCCAAGGGAATTAAGAGAGAGAGCTTGAGAGAAAAACTGTATCTTGCACAACTCTTCTGCAACCCAAAACCAACCAACATGACATGGGGAGTTACCCGACTTCATTAAATTTCCCCACTCCCCTGCAAAATTGCAGGGGGAGTGTTTTAATATTAATATTATAATAACTATATATATATATATATATATATATATATATATAAACTAAATAAATAATTAACACTTGATTATTTATTATCAAAATAGAATCATATTCTAAAAGCATTTCTCATGTATAATCTATAGTTGTAATTGATGGGATGTGAATCCCGGAGCGGAAGCGGATCTTTGTTCATCAATTTTGAGAAAACAAAATCAAAGGTGCAAAGATGAAATATAGGACAAAATATTTTCCCTTACCTTTGAAGAACTCTTCTTCAAAGATTCAATCTCCCAAACACCACCAAATGATCTTCCGTGCTATCCTCTAGGTAACGAGATCGTGCTTGTGGGAGCAATCGTTTTGAACAATAGGGATTGTGAGTGTTTGAGAGAGAATTATCCTTGGAGTTCTTGTGTTTTTCTTATTGTGTTTATCCAACGTTCTGCATTCAAAACAAAACCAAAATGACGTGGGGAGTTAAAATGCAGAACTCCCCTGCTAAAATGCAGGGGGGTTAACAATTAATAACATTAATTAATTAAAATTAATATAATTAATATATTAAATAATTATTAATCAAATTAAATAAATAATTATTAATTATTTAACATTTAATTAAATATCTCATATTTAATTAAATCATATTCTCTCTTGTATAACTTATAGATTTAATATTGTGCATTAAATTTTAACCTATAGTTTTAATATGAATCATATTCATATTAATTTTATTGGAATCTCATTCAAATAATTTCTCTCATAATATATAGTTTCAATTTAGAATTAACTATATATTATAATGTGTCAATATACATATATTCCATTGAGCAATTTGAACAGATCAAATTCTTCCAAAAACTTGATCCTCGTTTTACCCGTTATGAGCTAGCAAGGGGAATTAATAGACCTACAGATCAGAAGCTCGAACGATACGAGATTAATCGGTCAAACTCATTGACCGAGTTAATCAACATTCATTAACTATGGGTCACTCCACTAAAAACCCGTAGTTGCACTCTTCTCACTGCAAAATGTTTTCGTGTCCATGGATATATGACCATTAATGGCAAGTGAATCCTTCACGAGTGCTCGTAACTCAAGTTGGGTCAAATTATCGTTTTACTCCTGACTTACATCTTGCTCCTTAAATACCACTGCTCCTCTAATGAACAACCCGGTTATGGTCCGACCAATAATCGAAAGTCCCTCTCGGACCAATGAGAGGGTGGGACCCCTTGTTTAAGTCCCCGAGTCAGCATTTAAGAGAACACTCATCTACTCCCTTAAGGTCGGGGAGAAGTGAATTCGATCTTGTGAAGTTATGTTCCCAGCTCCCCACTCGGTCTCGTCCCTAAAATGGTAGGAATGTTGAGTCGGCAACTTGGGTCACTCTCACCCATACATATCAAAGGACGAGCCCTCACGGGTAGGAGTCTATAACTCACTCAGGATTAAAAATGAGTTGCCTGGTCATCCTAAGAAATAGCAATCTGTTAGTTAACGACGTTAATTACATCTAAATATCGACTATTTTGCATAACCCAACAGTGATAATGGACGTGTCCTTTCACCCCGCCTATAAAAGGATTTTCATTCCTCTTATTCAGATCTGCAATTCTACTCCAAGAATGACCTATTTGAGCTAGCACCTATACTGACTTGAGTATCGCTCGTTTACTTACTTTTTGCCGGTCCTACCTTGCATGAACTTGCACCTGGTCAGCTCGGCAAGTTGTCACGTGGCCGACCTCGACAGCTCCGCAGAATTTCGCATGAACAATTTTTTTTCATATATATAAACATGTATTCTCAACATTCATGTAAGATATTACAGAACTTTCATTGTCCTTTAGTAAGTTGTTTTACTTTCCATGATCTTGTACCGGAGGCAAAACATGGAATCAACATTTTTGTTGTGCGACAAACGTGACAAACTTGAACACCCATTTAATGCATCACAAAAGTTCTAAGCCTTTTAGTTATTTTATTTGTTGGATATAAAGAAGGATACTTATTTGTTCTATTTTTTAGCTGGAACATATCTTATGATTTGAAAAGCATGTTGGTTGGAGTGAAATTATTCGTTGTGGACAAATAAAAATATCAATTTAAAGCTTGAACTTTGCAATGTGTATCAATTTGCACCTTACAAAGTGTTGTAATTTTCACATGTGTCGCAAATTTTACCCTTCGATAAATTTTAATTGAAAAGTTATTGAAAACAATATTCTGGTGTGTCAAATGAAAAAAAAATGTTTGGTATGAAATAGTTGATAGGATTTAGGAAAAAAAAGAACATTAGAGTTGATTTTTTAGCTTAAATTTGTAAGTTTTGGCAGAATTATTTAATAGTAGATTTTGTGCATTAAACAAATTTAATTTGAAAAACTTGACTAAGTTAGTGAGTTTCTTTTAGATTTTTTTTTATTAAATAGAGGGATAAAAATTATGATATTTATATAAGTTTAGAATTATGAATTTAAATTTATTAAAAAAACTTAATTAGACATAAAATTTAAAATTATTTATTTAAATAAAAATAAGTTTTTCTAAAAAATAATTTAAAAATTAAAATAGGCTTGAGATTCGATCACATCATAATAAAAATATATTTAAAAATAAAATAACAAAAAATAGCTGCATTAAAAAGAGAAAATTTCAAGGTTTGATTGAATAGAGTAGAAATAAACATTTTTTAAAACTCGACCCAAATTTCTAAGATGAAAATTTTTTAAGTTCAAATATGACAATTTTCCAGATTTCTTGCACTAAAGAACCATCTAGATTTATGATATTCTTAATTTTTGTTTTCATTCCGGTTTTTGTAAGTAGATAATTAACTCAATTGAAACAATCTTTAGAGAGAGGAGAGAGAGAGCGAGATCGAGAAAGAGAAAGAGAAAAAGCGAAATAGAGATAAGAGAGAGGAGGAGAAAAAAGAGAGGAGAGGGAAAGGAAAAGTCATTTGGTATACAGGGTGATGTAGCAAGTATTAGAAAACATAGGGACTAAAAAACAATACTCCCTTGAAAAAGGTCACAATTTTCCAAAAAATACAAGAATAAACCTCCTTTTTTTAATGATCCAAGATGAAAATTTTTGAAGTAAAAAATGACCATTTTCCAAATGTGTTATTCTAAAAACATCTAGATTTGATTTCTCATTTTCATTCCATTCTACAAAATTGACCTAATTGAAATAATTGGATTTAGTACAACAAATTGAGAGAGTATGAAGATTTGATTTTTGAACTTCCGACTTGAAAAACTAAGTATCAATTACAGCTGCGCACATAAAAACAATCTATTCGTCGTGTTTGATTGAATTCACTTGAGATTTACAAAGGCACCAATTATCCAAAAACACAAATCCATCCCTTATTTTTCTCCTCTTCTTCAACCTCACTACCACCACCATAACCCCATCTTCGCAACTTCAAAACTCAGAAAGAACAAAGTTCATACAAAAAGAAAACAAACGAAAAAGAAAAACAGATCAGAAGTATTACATGTCCACCGGCACACGTTTGTAGAGTTCTGAAGGCAGCCTGGGAGTGGCCACGGCCTCCACCGGAGTCCTCATGTACGACACCACTCCCGGGCTCTCCGACGTGTCGATCTCCTCCGCC